TGGAGTACGCACAAAAGTACAAAAGTATGTCATCATTACCTGCCAACCGTTGCATTTTTGACTCTGCTTCTTTCAATTTCGTCGTTCGCTTTTGCTTCAGTTGTTCATTGTTGGCCTAAACGGACAGGCATTAGCAATGAAACGACATTTTTTATCAAGTTCAACATTACAGAGGCGTTTTATGTTTTTTGTGAAAAGAGGATTTTCCACACCGTACCTGCTCTCCACCGACAAACTGTTGTTGCAGCTGTTCCAATTTGCGAGCAGCTTCTGACGGATCTAATCCTTCCATAGTATCTAAGTCGGAGTTTGCCTAAATCGAGAGAGTTTGTGAGGTTCCTAAGTATAGCAATCTGATATACTATATCTACCGCAGCAAACGCTATGAGAAGTATGTAATCGTCTTTGATCTTATAAAGTCGATTTAGCATAATTTCTAGCCTTACAGCTAACTGACCTTTTCATACTGTTCCTTCAAGACTTGAAGCTCGTGCGCAAGTTCTGCTTTGCTCATTTGCTCCTTTTGATACTCATTTCTACAATAAAAATGTGCTATATAATCAAAGCACTTTTGCCACTTTAAGCCAACTTGAAAGCAACTACAAAAATCAAAACAACGGACCTCAGCTCAGTCATAGTTTCTTCGAACTCCTCGCGCAATTTCGCTCGTTCTGCTTCTACGTCAAAGGCCGCGATGGCCGCTTCTGGAGCATTGCCTAATCAGTTATGATTTTCAAAAATCCCAACATGGTCACAACACGACAGGGATCGGACGGAAGCTGCCAGAGTTGCTTTGTTGTGATCCAGTGTTCAGAGTTACCCGTGTGCCTTCGCTGTTCCAGCTACTGTTCAGCACCGTGCTAAGACCGAAAGTTGGATTGAACAATATGAGAGACCCTGCTTTGGCACAGAACTAGCATGGGGCTGGATTGGAGCTGGCACGGGCGAGTCTAGACGCTTCAAAAATTATCACATACGATTAGCTCCTGGCACTAGCATGGCTTTCAATCGTTCGATTTCTTCTTGATA